CAGTTTGGCCTCGTAATGCATTTCGATCGGTGAAAATTGACTGAAAAAAAAAAACCACATCGGACATAAATATTTCGTTTTCTTCGAAAGTCGGAACAAAAACAAAATTTCAGATCTAAAATTAGATATGAAATAGCCCATCCTAAAAGTATTCAAGTTTAGATATTTCACAACCCATTTCAGATCTGAAATTTAGATCTGAAAAAGACTATATCAGATCTGAGTTAGAAAATTTGCTGTCAGAAAGAAGTCATTTTGTTTTTACTATGACTGTTTTTGCATAATAATCTTTGGTGTTGTTCTACTGTGTTAAGATCCGACTTAGCTGTTGCGCCATTGACCACAAGAGTGTATGGATAAATAGGTAGTATGTAGGTTTTGTACACCGGTCTCGAATATTCTCAATATGTTCTTCGAATTTAGGTTTTTTAATCAAATAACTACTCCCAAATTAATTGCATGCGGTTTGATGTTAATTTTACTTAGAAAGGGCGTTTCATTCGTTTCATTTCGGGGTTGGTTTTACACTAATGGCTGAAAACAACTCTAAAAGACTTTTCTTCATTCAGTGTCAATTTTAATTCAGCTCAATCTAGCTTTTACCTAATCTAGATTTTTTATAACTTCTATTTAATTTCATTTATGAATGTCAGAAAAAATTTTCAACCATCTGCAAATATAGTTGTATCCGTTTTTTCACATTCAAGAAGAAAACTGTATATGTAAACAATAGCAATTAGAGGTGCCAAAATGGACAATTGAGATACGACGCATCCTATGGTCTTAACATCAACTTTTCAATAGAGTCATACCAAATGGCAGTCTTTTTCGAAGGAACGATGTAAATAATTGGCTGTTTTCACTTTAAGTTCATATGTGTATCACAATTTTATGATCAGCCTTGTAGAAAACTCAAGAAAAATCCAACAACATGATTTCAATTGTGCTGCTCTCGTAGATCCTTTTCTTATTAAAAAAGGCAATACCTGTTAATTCATTGAAAACCGTACAAAACATTTTAGGGATTATGTTTGCGTTGATTTTACAATTGGTTTTCATAAAATTCAAGTATTGCCATTCTGCACGTGTTTGCGCTGGTTGTAATACATGATTCTTCTGTTTGCAAGGGGTGAGACATTTATGAACATGTTCTCAACTTGAGTTTTTTGCAAAAAAAAGTTGATATTTTGTTGGAATTCCCAGGGTGGCCATCAGATTGGTTATACTTGTGACAATTTGATAAATTGAATAGTAAAAAAACTTTTATTTAAAAGTAGAAACGAATTTTTCTTCTTACTTGAAGTTAAGACATCCCATCTAATTCTGTTTTTTTTTGTTTGAGCACAAATTTCTTTTTCATTTTACATCATCTTTTCCAATACCGTTCAATCTTTAAAAGTTAATTTAGGATTCTACTTAAAGTTCAAAATGATATTTTTGGTGACAAAAAATGCACGCTTTAGTGAAAGCTTACAATCACAAGATTGCTGAATTTAATTTTATGAAATCAATTTTTGATAAAAGCTTGGTATTCAATCAAAAAATTTTTGGAAGTGGCGTATAAATTAATTAAGGTTTAGCACAAATTTGTCTGTGAGTTTGGCTGTGTTGAATGTGCAAATCGAAAAAATTCGTCTACAAACTTGGACTAAAATTTTTGTTGTTCTAAATTTGGCTACTTCTCTCGAATAAATTGAAAACTTTGAAGTACTACAGAGTTATACATCGGTATCTAAATTTTTCCTCACTGCACTGCACATTTGAAGCTTAGTGAAGAATTGGGTATCACTTTTTTAATTTGTGGGTTAGTCAAGTGTTGCAATTACTGGGTTTTACTCACTGATTAACTTCTTAGAAAGACTGAATCAAATTTTTGTTCCTAAATGATCGTTAAAAACATTGTAAAAGCTTTGTTTTTTAAAGTGTCCTTTTCTTAATCAAATAATCAGTTTTTTGTACATCTTTATATCAGCACATTATAGACAAACTCTTTATAATTGTCCTCCAGATCTGTGAAATATCAATGTGGCATCTTTGAAAGCAAGCAAACAAACCCCCCCCCCCCCCCCCCCGCATGTTCTTCAATGCCAACTGCCGGCGTTCAAGTTTTTGGTTGCAAGCAAAAAAAAATTCATGAGAACTAAATGGACGGTCATGCATTCCAGATCAGCATTCCAAGATTGCTGCATTATTCCACGCCAGAAGAATTCTCTTCAACCTTACTTGTACTGACAAAAAAGGTTTCGGATCAAATTAAATTGATTTTAGGTTGATTTTTAAATGGATAAAAATTGACTAGCAATGTAATATTTATGAACTCGCTTTAAATTTCAATTTACTATTAAATTGATTTTTCGTGAAAAAAGTTGGATCAATTTAAGTGTCTAAAAATTGAATGAAATCGATTAAGATTAATTTTTATTCACTAAAATGCATCCAAATTTTGCTTAAATCCTTTTTAAAAGACCATTAAGCAAATCGATTTTTTTTTGTGTGAAAAAGTCACTCCATCTCATATCGACAAAAACAAAAACCCATTATCAAACTAGAATCCGTTTTATTCCTTTTTAAAAGACCATTAAGCAAATCGATTTTAGTGTGAAAAAACTCCATCTCATATCGACAAAAACAAACTTCAGATAGATGGTTGATAAATCAGATTTTAAAGAAAATACACAAATAAAGTATAGTAATTTGCGAAAGGGAATCAGATTGTGAGCAAAATTTTATGCAACAAATTAAAAAATTGATCAAACCAAATTAGATTTTGAGCTCAAAAAGATGCACAAAGCACCATAGAAAATCGCCAATGGTAACCAGATTTTGAGCAAAAAAAAACTGTGTATAATTAACAAAAGGTCGATAAAAATCAAATTTTGAGCTCAAAGTCACGCAATTGAATCATAAAATAATCATAAATGTAAACCAAATTTGAGCAAAAAAATTGTACCAAATCAAGGAAATGGTCAAAATAAATCAAATTTCGAGCTCAAAGTATGCAACGAAACCATAAAGTAAGCTTTAAGATGCGACCAGACACCATGGATGTCAAATGAGGTATAATGGGCAATTAATGAATGAAAGAATAGTTCAAGATTGTTTTAAAAATGACAACTAAAAAACTCGATATCGATTTGTTTTGATTCCCCTAATAACAGAAACAAATAATGAAAGGAAAAAATGGATTTAGATTTAAATAAAATTGGATCAATTTGTTTTCGCTAGAATTTAAGATCAATTTAAATCGATTTTAATTTGATTCAATTCAATTTCACAATTTTTTTAATTCAAATTTCAAGCTGTTTTCATAGTAAACTCAATCTCAATTCAATCTCATTTTTTTTCAAGCTAAGTTCAATTTCAATCCAATTTGTCAGTGCAGGTATTCCTTTGTTTTTAGCAAGGCATACAAAAAAAAGGAATTTTTACCAAACATTTAGCTTGATTGTGAGGTTGCTCCAGTTTTGTTCATCAGCTTCGAAAAATATTCCGGTGCAAGAGCGACATCCACAAAAGTCACCAATAATGTAAAAATGAGCCGTTCGTCCCATGCTGGTCCGTAATGTTTCTCTGCAAGTTTGCATATTTTCTTGGGCTGATGGTTCAATATAGATTGAGCGCGCAATTCCTCTAATGTAAATTTGATTTTCAAATGGGTACGAGTTATTGCAAAAAAATCTGCCTAAAAAAGCTGGTGTGAATTTCTCAATTTTTCCAACTTTCAAACTAAGCATCCGGAAATCATTTTTAAAGATATTATTGGCCCATTTTTGCAGCATTATGACTAATTCAGTTGCCCTTATCATTCGGAAATCCGAGTGAAGAACGGATTTTAAAATTAAAAAATGTTAACTTTTCTGATATACATTTTTTTTATTTCAAAATTTTTTTCCAGTAGTTTTTATTGAGTTTTTTTTTTTTACAATTTTAAAGTCTCAATATTTTTTTCAAACTCATTATGAGAACTAGCTGTGTTCGTTTTGCAAAGCACATGTGCCCTTTTGTGCTAATAAGTACGCGACTTCCGTCCTTATACCTTATTATATATATTTTCAAAACTTTTTTGCAAAATCAGTGAACTTATAACTGCAATGGGGGGCATGCGTTTTGTCACGGGCACAGTTTACTCGAATTTAAAAAATTTTGGCTGAAAACTTGATTGCTTCTCTGAACCTAGAAATTACAATGACTGGGACATTCAAGGTTTAAAGTACGAGAAGCGTTAACAACCCAAAGTTAATACATCAAGTTATAACTATACGAAGACATTCCCAGTTAGAACTCAAAAAATAATAATATTTACTTCGAAAAAATAGAGGAAAATTGAGCAGCTTTGCGAGAGTATTTTCAATTACAGTCTTTCTTTGGAAACAAATAACGGCTGCGCTTATTTCCATGCCCAAATCCACCGTGATGTCCCCCCCCCCCCAAGCTGCCAATTAAAAATCTCAACTTCAATTAGAACCCAGTATGAGAAGTACTACTTTTAATTTGAAAAATTCGAGGAAAATTGAGCGCGGCTTGATTTGCAAGCAAAATTTTTAAATAGCGGCTTTATTTTGAAACAAGTAACAGCAATGCCTATGCCCATGGCCAAAGCCCAAAACTACCAAAATTGCCGGATCAAACTTTTCTACCCAGCCCGGGAAAGCTAATTAATGATTATCAATTTTCATCATAAAATTGTGAAGCGCACACAATTTGACCAAATATTGTCATTCCAGTGTTCTTGCAAAGCTGGAATAAATTAAATCATTTGAACTCTTTTGTATAAGTTACGATTTCTGTACGGCTTTTTTTTTCTGTACGCCTCAGTCCATATTAACCACACTTGAAGTTCGTTCGATTCATGACAAAATATATGGAACAAAAAAATTCAACTTAAAAATAATGGAAAACCGGTGAACAAATTTTAGCTACTACGTGTACGTCTACATTATATAATGTGTTTATTTTGTACCAACGGAATCATTAAAGTGTTATTCACTAAAATTCAGAAGTTACGTCACTCTTATCTTCGTTCTAGTTTGTTCAATTTCGTATGCCTTGCAATTTTGCAAGCAGCAAACAGCTCTATAAAATTGTGATTTCTATAAGAAATCAATTCTAACGCAAGCAAAACTACAAGACCAAGATGGCCGCGATTTCTGCAGTAAAATACGCAAAGCTGAAGACACTCAAGAAAATTTTATGCGCGAGTGTATTTCTTACCGAATACGGTGGGGCCGAGGCTCGTACCTACTTAGAAGAGCAAGTTGGACCTGGTTACTCGATTAGCTATTGGAACTTAAATGAGAACCCAATTACCAAAGAAAATTACAACGATAGTCATCCCTTGAAAACCTGTGACATATTACTTGGCGATACTTTTCTGGGCGAAAAATATGCTCGTTTTTTGAAGGAGAGCTCTGTGAAATGGCTTCATTCTTCAAGTGCAGGAGTCGATAAATTGACAGGAATCAATGATTTTAAGGTAAGAGAAATTTTCTTCCGGTTTGACGTCGCAGGGATGATCATCCCCTCATTCAGCAATTTACTTACTGAGCATGGATAAAATGACTCTGATTAAAGCCTGAAACAGCGATATGATTTTAGTTGATGTAACTTTGCAGCACTGAATCATAGATAATTCATGACGACGAAAGAGATCCCGAAATTCAGCGCTGTTTCTGAGATAATACACCGCTAAGTCTAGAAGCATCGATGTTTCCGAATTCATCATTGTTTCGGAGCTGATTTAGCAATAGTTCAGTCCTAAGTTTTTCAGCGCTGATTCATTTACGTTTTAGTATTGATAATGGATGAATTGGCGCTGATCTAGAAGCTGAAACAGCGATAATTTGACTATCTGCGACCTTAATCGGGGTTTAGCAATGACAGGTTGAAAATTTTGTCAAAAATGCTCACAAAGAAAAAGTGTGTTGAAGCAAAAAATCCTTTTCTGTGAAAAGGTAGTTTTTGGATAAACAAAAAACATTCCTGTCGATGCTGAAGGTTTTCTTGCCAGAACTTTTTAGATGATTTTTTTTGCTAGATCGTGCAAGACGGTTGTAAGAATCTTGAAAGCGGGAGGTTGTCTTGCTAGAATTTTGCAAGTTTCTTCAATTGTTTTCGCAGAACTTTCAAGTAGACACACAAAAAGTGATTATCAAAACGCAGAAAACTACTCGTATTTCAAGGCGAAGCCCTGAATGTTCCGATTGACTTTCATGGCCAATTTAAAAGTTTTTTGGCTAAACAATTGACAGAATAAGTAAAAAAGAATTTGAAAAAAGTTTTTTAATGCATTTTTTTCTAAATTTATCAACCCACACGCTAATGTAATCTGCAAAGAGATGTATCTAGCATCGTGTATTCTAATGATACTACCAAATCTTTTACCTCACTTCAATTTGGAGCGCATTAACCCTATGTTCACGCGTGTTATAAGAACGCAAAAATATATAGCTTGTTAATTATCCCAAATTGGTCAACATAGCAACTTTAAACCCCCATAACTCGACAAAAAAAACGATTACAGGTATTTTTTTTTAATTTGAGCTTAAGACAGCAAAATTATTCAGATGGTATGAAAATAAGATCAAAAATGCTTAGTTAAAATGTGGAAAATTGAATGAAAAAAAAACACACCAAGCATAAATATTCCGCACTTCGTTCGAAAGTCGGAACAAAAAAATTGCTTTCAAAATCTGCCTATACGGCAAAAATATTTGACCGTACAATTTGTCTATCGACTAAATTGTACTAAGTTGTCAAGTAAACTATATCTATTGAGAGTCTGTCTGAAGATTTAAGCTGGTTGACAGCTGTCTTTTCAGGAATTCTTCTTAATCATTGAAAGTCTTTTCGATCATTTTCCATAGAAAAAAGATTATCCAAACAAACTACATTATATCAAAAAAAAATGCTTTTCCTTGTTATTTGTAGTTCAACAAATTTCTCATAGTTTAAATGTTCATTAAGAAACAGTGAAGCCCTCTAAGCCATGTAAATCCTGTGAAACATTAAAACTCAATTTTGAAAAATCAAAAAGACTTCGTCTCCTAATTAGTATTGTTAGTATATAGACAAGGAGCCAAATTTATTTTTAGCTAAACAGGAACCTAGAAGCATTATAAGTTTGTTTTTAAAAACATGAGATAGCATAGGTGATGAAGTTTTGTCGGTGAAAGACAAGGAGACGTGTCTGATCTAGACAGTGAACTCAATAACGAGTTAAACAAAGAAAATGATGAATATTTGGCGGTGAACGAATAATTGTTTCACAACTTGCGTGTCCTCAAATCAAATGAAAATAAGACCACCTGCTGTAAAAAATTGGGAATCAAAACTTGGTCAACAATTTTTGTCTGACTGCGTGCCTTGCTCCTGCTTTGTTTGCTTTACTGTCTCTCATAACTGTCAATTAAGCTCATTGTCTGCATCAGATCCGTCTTCTTGTCATTCACCGTATTGTCTCCATTCGGGTTCGATGAACAGGTAATTCAGTTCATGAAATTTGAAGAAAAAAAACGGTCACTGAGTTTTAGAGAGGCGACTTTGCCTGGAGAGAAATTATTTGAACGTTACACAATTTTGAATGTGTCGCTGAACGAAGTGAAAAAACGATTAAGGTCTAGTTTATCTAAAAATTCTTTAAAATTTCTGTATTTTTCAAGTTTTTTTTAACCACTTGAATTTCAGTTGCTTGATGACATAAAAAAAAAATCTGGTAGTCTACTCAGCTTTAAAAATTCCAGAATTTTCAAAGATGAAAAATCAAGTTTGAAAAATTGACCATTTTGTTTTTGTTCCGACTTTCGATACGAAAGTAACGGAATATTTGTGCTCGGGGTGGGTTTTTTTTTTCTTCAGACAAATTTCGACTTTTTAACTAGCCATTTTTGACGGAATTTTTTTATATCATTCAAAAGGTATTGTTGTCCTGAGCTTAAATTTGAAAAGATATTTCACCTGTGATCATTTTTCGTAAAGTAATGAGGGTTTAAAGGTTGCATTTTGGCCATTTTGACCAATTTGGGACAATTAACGCGCGATATAATTCGAGCTATTAACGCGTAAGCGGAGATTTAATCCGTCTTAGAAATCGTTCCAAATTGGTTTAACGAAGCTTATTTGCTATAATTGATTTGTTTTAAGGAACGAAATCTATCCTTTTGTACTTTATATGGCGTGTGGGGGCTGATTTTCATTAAAAAAATTTCAAATTTCAGAAAAAAAAATTTTCATTTTATTTTATTACATTTAATTTTTTAAAATTATTACTGCTCCATAAACCTTAAAAGGCAGTCGGAACCTTCAGGGCTTCACCCTGATACGAGCAGTCTTGTTTATTTTTCTAGTCACTTCATTGTTTTCTAACTGTCGACTGAAAATTTTTTATATTAAATAAGCAAAGCCAGAAACTTGTGTCAAAATATTCTGCAAAACTTCTGCAATCGTTTGACTTTAGCTGATTTTTAGGACTACTTGGAAGATGTTGGATTTGAAAATGCACTTGTGATTACTCGCACTAGCTACGTAGAGTCCATGGTCGTATACTGTCTGGCACAAATTTGTTCTCACCAACATGGTCTGGATGTATACAGGCAACAAGAGGCACAAAATCTGTGGAAGGTGAATAATTTGAGAGAAAATCAGGCGATACAAAACGTAATAGAATTTTTTCCTTACTGCTTTAGAAAATTGCGGAAGAAAATGGAACTAAGCGATGGTACAAAAATGAAAGCCCAAATTTCAGACGCAAATTGAGATACCTAAGACTATTAATTTAAAGAGGGTAAGAAACTATCAGACTAACAGTTTTTGTATCTAAATAAGCATAGATACTAAAAAATTTTTTTATAAGCGGGCGCACGATTAATTAATTCAAATCGTGGTAGGTTCATTTCGAGTATTTGTTGGTTTTGAGTATTGTTTTTCAATAGATGTACCAATTTTAATACCTAAATTTCCGTGTAAAAGCTGATCTACAGCTTATTCTTATGATTATTATTGTTAGTAGCAGGATGTTTATAAACGTAATTTTTTTGAATTCATGTTTCTGAAAAGTGTTTTCAAGTGCCTTGAAATGTCATATAAAAGCGTCAAAAAGTTCAAAAATTTAGATCAAAGTTGAGACAAGCTTTTGTAATCAGAAAAGAGCTAAGTCCACAATGAGTTGGGCGAAATTATCTCCTCTCCAAGGAAAAACTATGAAAAAATTTCCGGCTAGGTTATGCTTTTCGAAACAACCAAAAAACAGAAACAGATGATTTTATACCGGCGAGGTAAAAAAAAATGTAATCAAAATTAAGTTTATCGCCTGATTTTTTTTTCAGAAGACTATGAAAGTAAGGTGAGTTGTTGAAAAACACTGCGACCTACTTTTTTTTTATTTTACAAATTTGCTGAAATCTTTCTTGGTTGCCGTTTTTTGTTCCTAGCTTCGAAGAAAAAAAATTGTATATGATTGGGTAATTCTTAGTCATTCTGGTTTTGGCAATTAAAATCATAGTTTTCATTAACAAAACTTTTCATCTCGAAGATGTTGCCTTCCTGTGTGAAAATTTTTATCGTTCTGCTATAAATTAGACAGTGTTATTGGATTTGTACGTTTTCAATTTTGCCTCTTTCTTGACATTTTTTTTCTATACTTTCAAGATATATGATGCTGAAAGAGTATCGCGAAATACTTGAGCGGGCAAATAATTCCACTGTCCAAATTCTTCCAAAATGAAAAAGACCATAATTATTGATCATATTATTCACATATTCGACCAAAATTATTTTCCTTACGATAAGGTTTTGGCTTTGGGGGGTAAATACAAACTAACTTCAAAACTTAAAGATTCAATTTTTAAAAAATTCAATTGAAAAAACAAAATATATCAAAAACTTTTCAATGTCAAATAAAAGATTATCTAAACATTCTGAGTTCCGCTCTGATACAAGAAGTTGTGCTTAGTTTTGTTTTTTTTTTTTGTTTTTGACCGCAGAAACGAAATAGTTATTTAGATAAACCCATGAAAATCTAAAAAAGTGGTTTCTTAAATGGACAATATTGATTTTTTTTAAAATCAAACTAGTTTTCTCCGCTTGATTTCTCACAATGGTCTAGTTAAACATGATTTTTAAAAAATTGAAGTTTAGAGCAGTTTATGTTTTTAGCATGAGTTTTTTAGTGATAGCACAGAAGTTATGAACCAACATAAATTCTTCTGACTCTTTATAAAAGAAAAAGAAGCTTATCAAAAAAAATTTGACATTCAAAATTTCTCGATTGTTTAATATTTTGATAAAACAGCCATCAATTTTTCCATTCTGACTCTCCTAGGGACAAAAACATTTCGACAAACGCGTTTACTCCACAATTCGTGCCTACTGATTCTCGTTGTATTGCGAGCTGAAGGCCATATACATATGGTTTTTGGTTCTCAAAATAATCAGATAGAAATATTGGACTCGGGTTGACCTCCATATACCGCAATTGGTAGTCCATTTTGAAGCTAGCGAAACGCTGGTCATATATTACTCATATACAGGAATTATAATACCAGTTTTTACCATCGCTTTTGAAAAACTGCGTCCGAAACGGTCTAACATTTTTTCATGCAAAAATAATTTTTGTACTCCAACAAACATTTTCCCGAGGCCAATTTTGTTGTGTGTATAACTTTCGCTTGAACTCCCATATTTGATGTTTTTCTAGATACACTTAATCAAAACGCTCAGTAGGTCTTTTTTAATTTATGGATTATTTTTGCATGTCCTTGGCAGCGACGAATTAATTAAATTTTTCACATTCGAAAAATTACTATACTCCGCGACATAAGTTTTGAGACAAAATAGTGCTTTTAGAACCATTATCTTCTCGGCAACTAATAACACTAGAAACGTGAACTCTGGTACGGAAATAGAAAAACATTATATCAAAGCAACGGAATGTTTTAATAGACAATTGTGTCACCTCCTGAGGCTACACAGAGCTCGAATCTTTTGTGCAGAGATTCTATCAAATTGACTTGTGTTTTTCGTTTTATCCCACCACTTGCCTGAAATTCCGTTTTGGGTTGTTGTAGTGTTGCTGGGGCCTTCTTATTTTTCATCTCTTCATGTACTTCCTAACTATTTCAATTGCCGAAAGATCGGGGGAGTTTGCAGGCCTTTGCATTATGACCACATTTTTGTCCTGACACACTTCTTTTGTGATATTTGTTATATGCGCTTTAGCGCCATCTTAATGGAGAATCCAACCCGCTGTGAAAAAGGCGTTGGCATATGGCAAAAAGCATTGGAGGACCAAACAGTACCGAGAGGGCACACAAGACCATAACATACACGAACAATTTCGGGACTTGCACGGCATTTCTCGTTTTGTCCAATATTTGTGAGTGTTACGATGCATGTAGAAGAGACACTCGTCTGTTATAAGGACGCTATGAAACAAAAAAATCCGGTTCTCTAAGCAGAATTTAGACCGTTTTTCATATGTTCTTCTGCCAAAAATAGCTTTTTTGTCGCTGAAATTTGTCAAATCCAGCTTTCTTCAAACGCCTCTGAACTGTTCTGGAAAAAATTTTGATTTTTTGTCTTTTTGTCTAAAATATTTGGTTGCTTCTTCAGCGAGGGTTGGGTAGTTATTGAATGTTTGCGTAAGGCTCCGCCTATCATTTGTCAAGATCGTTGGGCTGACTTGTCTTCTCCTATCTTGCATTATTCCCCTTTCTTAATTGCCAGAATTTTTCAGTATACAGTTGCTCGAGACGACCCTAATACTTGTTGGAGAAATGCAGGTTCTTTGTGCCCGGAATCGTAAAGTTGTTTGACTTTCAAATTCATGTCTTTGAACACTATCTCGGAGAGATAAAATTAAAACCCAAATGGTTTTTCACGCGCGAGGTGTGAACGAAGCCCTTCTTCACCGCGAAACTCTGACACACAATAAGCAACTGAATGATGTTTTATGAATGAGAGTTTGGAAATTGAAAACTGTTTAGAAGAAAAAAAAGGTTGAAAATGTGTCTCGAAACTTATGTCGCGGATTGTATAATCCAAAACGTATTCAAAAATTTATACATTTGATATGTTGTTATACATGAATCTAAGTCTTTAGTTTTCACGTTTCGTTAATTATGTTAACAAAAAATATCAAAAAAAAACGAAAAATAGCTACAAATTTTTTTTGGTTTATGAAGGAATGCTAAATTACGACGCCAAGCTCTAGTACTTTGTAATGGTTTGGATTCCGCATATTTTGCCCCTGGAATCCGCATCATTTGTGTTGAATTGCGCGAAATTTCGAAAGTATTTGGCCGTTGGAATTCTGATAGAAATCAAAAGACAAATGTTTAAGCACTAGGCGTTAAATCCGAGTTTTGGCTAGCGAACAAAAATATGGATTCCAGTGTCGTTACGATTTTTGAGACAAATTCCAATGCATGCTTGTTTTGGATTCTACTGAAAAAAGAGTTGGAATGTGTTAAAGCGAAATGTCTCTGGATTTCAATGTTTGTCAATCGATTCCGCAATCATTTTGTTTCTTTTTTAGAAATTTGTTATACAGTTCAGTAAGTATGTTTGCGGAACCCGAAGACAAAAGGAACCAAGACTGCTCGTATCAGGGCGAAGCCCTGAATGTTCCGACTGCCTTTTAGGTTTTATGGAGCAGCAGTAATAACATAAAAAAATTCAATGAAATAAAATAAAACGAAAAATTTTTTTTTTCTAAAATTTGAAAATTTTTATGAAAATCATCCCCCCACACGCCATATAAAGTACAAAAAGAGAGATTTCGTTCCTTGTAACACATCAATTATGGCAAATAAGCTTCGTTCAACCAATTTGGAACGATTTATAAGACGGATTAAATCTCCGCTTACGCGTTAATAGCGAGAATTATATCGCGCGTTAACTGTCCCAAATTGGTCAAAATGTCCAAAATGGCAATCTTTAAACCCTCATAACTTTACGAAAAATAATCACAGGTGAAATATCTTTTCAAATTTGAGCTCAGGACAACAATAGCTTTCGAATGATATAAAAAAAACTCCGTCAAAAATGGCTAGTTAAAAAGTCGAAACTTGTCTGAAGAAAAAAAAACCCACCCCGAGCACAAATATTCCGTCACTTTCGTATCAAAAGTCGGAACAAAAACTAATCCAATGCCAAATTTTTAGAACTTAGTCCACAAAATCCGAGATTTGGCTTCAAAATCCAATGACAAAAATTCAGTCAGTATTTTGTGGGGATTATCATTTGTGGAATTCATTGAAAAAGTCTCTTACACATGCAAACGATGTGTCTAAGGAAGTTAGGCAAACAAAAGCACATGTATGTGCAATGTTATAAAATCGAGCTACTCATACAATTGCCATATACGAGAGAGTGCTAGTCATACAATTTTATGACGAGTTTTTCTGCATTTTTGTAAATCTAGAAAAATATATGAGAAAAATTTGATTAATATTCCTGGTGACCCTGGTTAGCTAGGCGAAAAAAACTTTCGTTCTTCGGGCTTCCGAAGAAATTTTTGGAATATTTGCGCTCGGGTGGTTTTTTATTTTCTTCAACTTTTAAACCATCTATATTTGAGGAAACTTTTTAAAAATCTGATCAGTATTAATGCCTTGAGATATTTTAATTGTGATCAGTTTTTTAAAAGCATGTGGGGGTGTTTAGTTTCACAGTCCAGAAAATCTAGTAAAATAGATTTTTTTCGCAAAGTTAGGCCATAAATATTTAATGTTCATCGTTTAAAACAAGCTATCTTTGTCATATTTCGTTTCAATTACTGTCAATGAGTTTTTGCTGAATGATGAAATGATGAAAGCTTGAGGTGACAACAAGACTGAATAAATTTGAACAAGACTCAAAAAGACCATCACCCGATTTCGATCAAACTCGAAACGTTCGAGCCAAATTTTTTTCCCAATGCACAAGGACTCAGGCTGGATCGAAAGATATTATATTCTAACGCATGAGTATTATGTTCATCATGGCCACGAATGGGTTTTATACGGTTCATTATTATATTTTTTGGTAGGTTATGACAAACTTATTTGATCTTCATAATTAACCTTGTAAAACCACTTGTTACGCCATAAAATTCATGTTCGTCTGTGGTGGGGTGAGGGGGGAATCCACATATACTTATTGTATTTACGATTTTCCAAGACAAAGCCTTTGTTAGATGATTCTTTAAAATTGGCGTTTTTCTTGTGAAATAACAGTTTCACGCGTGAGTTATCCAAACTGCCTGCTTTTTCAGACCCCTCTCCTCCAAAGTGGTGGGCATATTGGGAGTGGGTGATGTGGGTGGGTCAATAGCGGCTGCTTGCAAACAGGCACTCAACATGCGATGTGTGGGCTACTCCAGTAGAACTACCCAGAAAGAGGTAAGAAAGTGGAAGGAGAAAAATTATCTCGTGCCGGATGTAAGCGCAGCGGAGCGAAGCTGAGCTAGCGTCTTCTACTTGCCAATGCCTTGTTATGAATTGTCGCTTGACACGAACTGTCGCTTGTTGCGAATTGACGCCTGTTAAAGAGTAATGAGCGTTGCAAAGACTCTTATATTGGTCTTGCTGATTGTTTTTGTATTTGCTTTTCAGGAAAAGTCTTAAAAGTCTCTAATAACTACAGATGTTCATTCATACATATTTATGCATTTATGAAAGCACTTAAGCTTATATGCACTTTTTGAGTTCAATTGAAATTCATCTGCTGAAAACGACATCGATAGCACTTTCCAAAAATGAATGTGGAAATGGCGCAAAAAACGTAAGCGATATCTAGTTTCGAAATTGGAATTGGATTTTTAGATTTCTAGCGAAACAAAACTTTCGAGTAGTTAGAACATAGTTGAAAGATACCCGAGGCCATCTTCAACTATGTTCTAACTGTTGAAGAGTATGTTTTTGCCCTTTCTGTTTGTTTTTGCTCTTTCAATTGTTATAATCGGGCATCTTTCAAAGTGTGAAAAGTGCGTGAAACTATGCAAATGATTATTTTTTCATTCATCCGTTCTAATATTTCATTTTTCATTCATGCCTTGACGTGAAAGAACATGTTTGAAAGAGCAAAAACATACTCCATCTATTGATCCAATTTTCTCTAGTTGGGTTCATGTTATCAAAAAAGTGCCAATCATAATTTGTTCTCGAAATTCAAAGAGTTTAAAGGGCATCTATTGAAATTCAAAAGTTGAGATTTTTTCACCAAACCCAGTGTTTTTTTATATTTACTTGCGCCAATTTCTCTTTACCAATCTTCGATTGGCTATGTAACGAATGGTCGCTTGTTAAGAATCGTCGCGTGTTACTAATTGTCGCTTGTTACCAATTGTCGCTTGTTACGAATTGTCGCCTGTTACGAATTGTCGCTTGTTACGAATTGTCGCTTGTTACTTATTGTCGCTTGTTACCAATTGTCGCTTGTTACGAATTGTTGCCTGGTACAAATTGTCGCTTGTTACGAATTTTTGCTTGTTACGAATGGTTGCTTGTTACGAATTGTCGCCTGTTACGAAAATTCGGTTGTCACAAATTGTCGCTTGGTACGAATTGTCGCTTGGTACGAATTGTCGCTTGTTACGAATTGTCGCTTGTTACGCATTGTCGCTTGTTACGAATTGTCTCCCTGCCTATCCAAACTAAAATCCTAATTCCTATTTTACTGCTCTTCGAATAAAGGTTGACTTAGTGCGTTAGAAATTGCACTAACTTGATAATTTTCAGGAATTGTGAACTATAAAATGTGAACAATCGTCTTGCGTTAAATACAGATGATTTTTGAAAAATTTTTGACACAAAACGAAAAAAAAAGAATATTTACACTCAATTCAGAATCTTACTTCAGAGTGTATCTCTGCAAAACATTTGAAATAGTAAAAACTAACAACTTATAAGCATCTAACAACAATAATTTTATTCTGATTACAAAAACGTGAGATATTACCTGAAAAGCATAAACTCATAAAATTTTGAATAATTCATGTCAATTTAAATTCAAAATGACTTGACTGATATCGTCATAAAATTTTGAATAATTCATGTCAATATAAATTCAAAATGACTTGATTGATATCGTCAATACAAGTCTCGCTTGAGTCGAACAAATTCGAGCACTTTTCCAAAATTTTGTTTTCAGTCTCATTAAAAATTTTGGTTAAAAATTGATGCTCGTTTTTTATGGGTATTTACGCAGTTAAACAGTTCGGTGAAAGTTTTGACCAGTTTTTTTTGACAGAGTAAAATAAGTCTTAAAATGCTAAAACAAAAAAGTTTCGGTTTCAACAAAAATTTCAGTCAGTTGTGATTTTTTGTGCGAAAACTTCAGTAGGCTACGCATGATATAAAAACGCACAGTTGGTGGCAAAAAATTTTTTTGTCGGTAAAGTTTTTTTTTGAGAATTGGAGGGATACATCATATCGAAGTAAATTATATTGCAGAGTCAACTATCCTAAATTGGCATTTTTGAAGCCTTCATAACTTTAAAAAAAGCATAACTTAAGTTTAATTTTCGGAAAATTTCCTCGCTGCAAACCTCGAAAACATTTTATAATGGTTGTCAAGCTTATAGATTTTCAAAGAAATTAGTTTTATTAAAATGTTCCTACTTTAGATTTTAGTTTTGTTTCAGAATTTCGATCACATCTACACAAACGATTTAGACTCCCTCCTAGCCGAATGCGACTTCGTCGTAAATACATTACCATCGTCACCCGCCACAAAACATCTGCTTTCTGGTGATCGACTTAAAAGCGCAGCCGGAAAATCCCCGGTTTTCATTAACGTCGGCAGGGGTTCCATTATCGACGAGGACTCTATAATACGTGCTGTGGACTCAAACTGGATTAGTCATGCAGTGCTAGATGTTGTAGAAGTAGAACCCCTTCCCGCTGATAGCAAATTATGGGGGAACCCGAAAGTGACTATAACTCCTCATATATCAGGGGGACCAGTGGCGGAAATTACTTACCCGTTTGTGGTGGATTCGTTTGTAGCAAATTTGAAACTGCTAAAGGAAGACAAACCGTTGCAACTAGTTGTTGATTACGAAAAAGGATACTAACAAACAATAAACTAGTAGAACTTTAACATTTTAAAACTTGAGCAGCTGTTATATGCGCTCACTTACGTATCTGACATCATAAGGAAAAACTAGTGTAGCCAGTATTTGCTTCCTATTACCACAAGAGTTTCAGACTACTATTTAACTTCTTGCATTTTTTTGTGAGACGGACGGAAGACGATGAAAAAATTTCACGATTTATCTTTTGCAGCAAATACTTGTTGTTAATTAATGCAGTTTTTAAATAATGTTGCAAAATTTAAGTTTCAACGCCGAAAAACTAATTGTTTTTATCTGCTAATTTTTAGTTTAAAATTTATTTTAAGATTTTGTAAGTGAAAAGTTATTGACGGAGCACCTAGATGGGTCATCTAGTGTCGGACGAGATTAAAAAGAGAAGTTCTGAAAGGTTCTACCCTTCGATCAGCATTTGTTTTTGGGGACGAAAAGTGGGGAAGAATTTTGTATTCGGGTGTGTTGTAGTGTTTTTTTTTCTCTTCTTTTTTGTTTTCCACGCAAAACCACTCACCACAAACAATAATCGGAGAAAAGTCAGAGATATATCATATTAAAGTCTTGCAGTTGTTATTCGAACGACTTTAAAACATTTCAGAAAAAAAAATTCCCATTGTCGAGAAAATCCGGTTTGAGTTTTTCGTCATAATTCGAGCGAATAAAGCGAGTGAGTAGGCTTACAATAGCTTTTTTTAATGTCTTAAAAGCTTGAAATAGCTCGATTTAAAACGTCAAAACGTAAATTTTCTCGAGAAACGTTACTGATTTTGAATATTTTATCGCCTTTTTGGAATGAAAAAACTTCGAAATATCAAAAAAAGACAAAAAACATTTTTAATTAAAAAATTTTTTTTTGTTTTTCTTGTCAGTTTTCTACAAAAATTAAATTTCAATTTGCTTATTTTTTTGACGGTCGAATATGACTATTCTTATGTTTTTCGTTCCGCTCCTTTCATCACACCACGCACACTAAAAACGACACTAACTTGAAAAATTATATATATTGTTGTATTTTTAAGACAAAAAGTTGTTCTGTGTTTTTTGATATTCAACACAAGCTTGATCTTTTCATTTCTTGGAAATTTTAGATGCTAGTAAGTGGAAGGAATAATTTGGTTGAAACAAGTTTTTAGAAATTTTAATTTTTAAAAATTTTTAATTAAAAAATTTTTTTTTGTTTTTCTTGTCAGTTTTCTACAAAAATTAAATTTCAATTTGCTTATTTTTTTGACGGTCGAATATGACTATTCTTATGTTTTTCGTTCCGCTCCTTTCATCACACCACGCACACTAAAAACGACACTAACTTGAAAAATTATATATATTGTTGTATTTTTAAGACAAAAAGTTGTTCTGTGTTTTTTGATATTCAACACAAGCTTGATCTTTTCATTTCTTTGAAATTTTAGATGCTAGTAAGTGGAAGGAATAATTTGGTTGAAACAAGTTTTTAGAAACTATTTACTTGCAATCAAGTATAAACTAGTTGCATTGCTCAGTTACTTGTTTCTGCAAACTTTCCTATGTTTACTCGAATGTCCCCATAATTTTTACAGGGAGTTCACATTAATTCTACTCTTATTTCACTCAGTTTGCGAAGTAAGAGTTCTTACTTCACTCACTTAGAATGTGCTGTAAAAGTACCAGAAGATCTTTTTAATTATTCCATTTATGGCTTGAAGCGACTTCAGTTCTTATACATAATTCGCAGATTGGAACTTTGTAAACTTTGAATATTAGGAGCCATTGTTTCTTAGCAGGTACTAAAATGTTTTCTTTGGTCAGTTCTTAAACTTCTTACAAAAGTGATCTTGTTAGCTTGAGGTCATGTGTTTATTTTTCTAAGAAACTGAACATCGATCTTTAAAGTTTCTGAAACTTTTGCTGCAACAAAGACATGATAGGAATCATGTTTTATCATGTCCTTGGCTTAACATATTATCTTGCGATAGTTAGCAGTTTTTGTTGCATAATCGCATTTTTGGTATTCGATTCTAGGCTACAATAGTATTTGGTTGGACATATATTTCTATCCGCGTAAATAAACCTAATTTTTAAAAGAATATCAACGCCAATACTTTCATAACTTCAAAATTTTTCTGGCGACTATGAATATTGTTAGATTCAAAATTATTATCAATTTTCCAGCAAATTTAATTAATATAAAAACAAGTTCGGTGTCAGCTCAAGCTGGAGCTCTTCGGATGTTAAACTCGAAATTTTTATACATTTGTGAAACGTGCATAGCTTGAAAATAACTTTATGATTATTATCAGCAATATTATTGCAAATTTAGCATTATTTTTATAATCTCATTTAATTGAAAGTGATTCGGCTTCTATCTCATTTTTTTGTATAAAAGTCATGGCCAGTTTTCTAATTGCAACAATTTATCGCTGCTTCAACAAAAACTCATAATCACAAAATTTGATCACATGGCTTCGTTCTAAAATTTTTAGTTGCAGCTTTTAAACTTCTTTACCACTTAGAATTCCACTTCTTAAAAAATACCTGAAAAACAAAGGGTTTCAGCTTTCTTTAAACTCTTTTCCAACGTTTAATAGATTTAATTCGATGATGTGCGAATTGCAACTTATGCTATTCTGTCGCGTCCCTACGAACTTAAACATCAGTTTCCATATGATAGAGTCAGTTTTACATGGTTGTAATGAAGTTTATTTGATTTTGGGGTGTTGTTTTTGTTGTTGATGGCCCCTAACAAGAATAGTCGTCAAAATATTTTTTTGTTTGTGTCCAGTACTCCTTTGTCAACAAAAGTGGTAATGGAACTACTATTTTGTCTCCGCCGTCAGACAAAATCGTACTGAGCAAAATAGCCCTGAATGCAGAAAAAAGTGAAATGAACAACCGAGCAAAAGTTTCGTACCTTTTTCAAGTTGGTAGTTTTGAATAGGCGCAGAGAGTCCTACAAACTAAGGCTTAATCTGGTTCAACAGGTCGTTGCAAAGGTCGTCAATTTTGGAATTAGTTGTTTGTTTCATTGGACAATCAAAGAGTTTCAAGTTTTCAGTTTTCCACCTTTAATTGTTCCTGAAGTTTGATTTAAATTTTGAGCCAGTTCATGTTGTAAATTTACGAGGGGTTGGGAAACTGAAAAAAAGTCAGTAAGCTTTGCGAACAAAAAGTACAGTTTGAGCTATTGCTTTCGAACTTGTTATCCAAATTTTACATATGACTACTGAATTGTGTGCTCTTGTAACACCCAAATGAAAAAGAATACGTTAAAAATCTACTATCTGTTGTGTGATTAAACAAGACTGCTCTGCATCAAGGCGAAGCTTGGTTGAATGATTAACTAATCAGTGTTAAAATAAGTTTTCTCATTTTATCCCGATACACGTTATGTAAAACAAAAGGACTTGTTTATTATATCGTATCGGTTTAATCGCACTGAATTGCAGGCCTTAATTCAATTTAGAAATCAATAAATTGGTGCTTGCGCGTGTTAATTGAACGCGTCCCTTGCTCGTGAATTATACTAAACCGGCCAATTTAAACATTTTCAATTTTAGTAAAAAAGGATCACAATTAAGTCACTTTTTTGAACTTGAGCACAGAGCAACAATATGTTTCAGATGCTATAAAAAAATCTGTCGAAAGCGCCACTTTTTTTTCTCCCAATGACATGACTATGGACTACGAGTGGTTTTTTAAGCCAAATATGAACTAATTCAATGACATGTAAACTGCAACTTGTGCTATTTTGTCACGTCCCACCGAATTTTAACATCAGTTTCAAGATGATAGCCTCAGTCTTACAAGTTTGTGATGAAATTTATTTGATATTGTGGTGTTGTTTTTGTTGTGAATGGCCCTTTACAAGAATCGTCGTCAAACTATTTTTTGTTTGTGTCCAGTACTCCCTTGTCGACAAAAGTGGTAACAGAACTAGTATTTTGTCTCCTCCGCCAGACAAAATTGTTTTGAGCAAAATAGCCCTGACTGGAGAAAAAAACGTAAAGGACAAGCGCGCAAAAGTTTTGTGCTTTTTACAAGTTGGTAGTTTTAAATAGGCGCAGAGAGTCCTACAAACTAAGGCTTAATCTGGTTCAACAGGTCGTTGCAAAGGTCATCAATTTTGAAAGTAGTTGGTTGCTACATTGGGCCATCAAAGAGTTTCAAGTTTACAGTTTTCCCCCCTTTTTATTGTTCCTGGAACTTGATTTGTAAAATCGAAGTAAAAAAACTTTCAAATCGTATTGAAATGTGTAAGAGTGAACAAGTAAACAACTTTTTAGTTCATTTCTTACAAGCAAACCACCGTGTGATGTTTTTCGAGCAAGTTTATGTTTTAAGCTTACGAAGGGTTGGAAAACTGAAAAAGAGTCGGTAAGCTTTGCGAACAAAAAGTACAGTTTGAGCTATTGCTTTCGATTTTTTATCCAATTTTGACAGATGACTACTGATTTGTGTGCTATTTTATCACCGGAGTTGAGAATGAATACGTTGAAAAAATAATCTCTGTGTGATTAAACAAGACTCCTCTGCATCAAGGCGAAGTTCGGTTGAGTGATTGACAAAATAACTGAATAAGTTTTTGCTTTTTATCACCCCACACGCTACATAGAACAAAAGAATGTGTTTATCATCTCGTTTTGTTTTAGCCTCAAAGAATTGTAGGCCCTTATTCAATTTGGAATTCAATAAGTTGCTGCTTACGCATGTTAATTGAACGCATACCTTGCTCGTTATTCATACCAAACTGGTCAATTTAAAAATTTTCAATTTTAGTAAAAATGATCTCAAGTAAGTCACTTTTTTTTAGTTTGAGCACAGAAGAACAATACCTTTCAGGTGCTATAAAAAATTCTGTCAAAAACGCGGCTTTTTTCCCTTCCAAGAGAACCCCTGTCAACTGGGATGAGCGTCAGTTCTATGGACAACGAGTGGTTTTACAAGCCTAAATATGAAGACCAAGTAAGTTTGTTATGATTAAATTAGTCCGCAGGTGAATTTTCATAACAATCAGACAGGGCAAACAAAAGTTTACTTGCAACAATTCGCATGCGGCGTTAAAGCAAAAGAGATTTTGAGATTAACTTCTGAAGAGATTTTGAGCGTAATCAGCAGCAAAAAAAAACAACTCAAACACTTAAATCTCCCTTTAAAGAGGCACATATCTCGAATCGGGTTGAGTTATAGTTTAATAATAAACTCACTATTTAGATGTTTCCGGCTCTTTTCCATTTTCCCCCACATCTGAATTTCAATTTTGAA